CATTTAGCATTCCCTAAATCACGCACAGTGAATATGAGCACTTCTATTTCAACATAGTAGTATTTTCTTTCTTTACCCCACTTAGAAAACAATGATGAGGTACCCTTTAGAAGTAAAAAAAAACTGACTTTTTACTGCTGCAGACATGTCATATTTTACTCCAAATAATTTGGCCAGTAACTTTTTCAGACATCAGCGACCGTATTAGTTCTCACAAGTGGGTGGCAATTTATACATCAGTCATTCAACAAACTGTGCAGTGTCTAGAGACTACAACTCTATGCCCCTTCGTAAATATTATAACCATTTTCCTCAGACTACCCATGTACTATAGCGAAAGTGGTTAAAGTGGTGTTTCTGCACGGGTTAGAACAAGACCAAGAAATTTTCGAGCCACAGCTCCATCCCCCTTATTTTTTTCGTGAATGGGTTAGGTTTAGGGCAAAACTTTTTGGGTTGCTTGCAAGGCGTGTTTGACCAGATAAAGTAATAAGGGCACGTGCCAGTTGGCCTCGCAATGACACCGGATATCTATCGCATGTGGCGTTGCTATGGCAACTTACGGGGTCACGGCATGAACTAAACGTGGTAGTGTACAAGCTCAATATGCTGATACCCCGCAGGGGCACCTGCGCAAGTAGGCGTTTGTTGTGTAGCGACACCATGGACCCGAGCTAACGCGGGGGGGGGGGGGGGTTTGGCTCCCTCCCACGCCTAGCCATGCGTGGCTTTGCCGTGTCCGGGGAAAAGGGGATCCTGTGGGTTGAGCCGACGCCGGGTGATTGGACCTCTGAGGCCCGCCGGCGGAGGCAACACACCCCTTTGGCCCCGGCTTCACGTAGACGGCACCCCTGGGCTGACCCACCCAGGGGAAATTGGCAGTCGCCTTTTCAATCTCTCTCTCCCTACATCTTCGTCTTTATCTCTCACTATTTGTCTGTCCTGTCTTCTACTTTCTTCTGTCTACTTTCAAACTTCCTGGCGGCTAGGGTTAACCCTGTCCAAATAGCCTACCTTGGTCTAGGCGCATTGGGTTATAGTAGCGTTGTACGGCTGGCGTCTGCAGGTTTTAGCTTCCGCAAACTTGTAGCGTCCCCTCGTTGGGCTCAGTGGTGGGTGGCCGCCAACGCTTCAGAAGAAAATTAAACTGGCATGCATAAAGCATTTCCCTTATTAAGTGATCGTACCGCCTCAAAGCGCGTACGCACCGAAGACTTGAGATTTTTCAACCGATCAAGTAAAAACTTCCCCCTTTTCATGTTATCCATAGTGAGATAAGCAGCAAGCAAGCCAGAACTGTATCCCCATTTGTAGTAGCCAGACGTCTCACAGAAACTCTTGGAGCCGGGTACAAAGTTACCAAAATTGCCAGCGGAAACCTCCTCCTTGAAGTTCGAGAAAAAGAACAGTTTGAAAAGCTACAAAATCTTTCAACTTTTAGTGACACTCCCATTACTGTAACGCCACACAGATCTATGAGCACAACCCGTGGAGTAGTTTCTGATGCTGATTTGCTCAGCTTGACTGAAGAGAAACTTCTGGAGGGGTGGAAGAGTCAGAATGTGACCAATGTACAAAGAATCACCATTAGAAGAGACAACAAGGTAACGCCAACAAAACACCTAATACTCACGTTCGCTTCCAGTAATCTGCCAGAAAGTATTCAAACAGGGTACACTAAGACGTCGATCAGACCATACATACCTAACCCACGTCGTTGTTTTAAATGCCAGAAGTATGGCCACGGCTCACAAAGCTGTCGTGGTCACCAAACTTGTGCACAATGTGGAGTGCAGGCCACAATTCTGACAATCGCGAAGAACCATCACACTGTGTGAACTGTGGCGGAAATCGTGCCGCATACTCATGGTCTTGCTCATTTTGGAAAACAGAAAAAGAAATCATCACATTGAAAATTAAGGAAAATATCACATTCAAGGAAGCAAGACGAAGAGTGTCGCCATTTTATGGCGCTACATATGCTGATGCGGCGCGTCAGAGGGCAACGCCACACCCTCCCTCGCCACCCCTTCGGCCAGCGCAGAGCGAGCCGTCGGCTGTGGCGCCTGCCCCCAAAGCGGCTAGTAGTTCAGTCTACTCCGCCTCCTAGCGAATTGAGGCCGGAGACTCCAGGGTCCTCTGGTCTCAAGGCCTCCCCTCACCAAGCGAGGCCTAAAATCCGAACCACCAGCTCGCATATGCGGGCACCCAGTGCCTCCGAAGAGGCAATGGACACAACAGTACCCTTGGTACCAAAACTACGGCGTGGCTTCTTGGAGCACGCCAAGAAAAATAAAAAACCAATAACGGGGCCAGACGAGCGTCCTGCCACCTGAATTAACGAGCTAACTCGAACACAGGATACTCTTTGTACACACAGCAGCATCTCTCTTGTTTAAATATGCAGACAGAAATATTACATTGGAACATCCGAGGCCTTCTTCGAAACCTCGATGACTTACAAGAACTCCTCCATGAACACAATCCAAGAGTGCTGTGTGTACAAGAGACACACTTAAAACGAACAAACACAAAATTTTTTCATAACTACGTAATCTTCCGAAAGGATAGAGATGATTGACATAATCCGGTGGTGTAGCGGTTATAGTTAGTCAAGGTATAGCATGCACACAATTACCCCTTCAATCTTCCCTCGAGGCGGTGGCTGTACGAGCAGTTACTTTAAACAAACTTGTCACTGTCTGCTCTTTTACATACCTCCGTACCATCCTCTTGAAAAACTTCAATTCCATTCTTTAATCGACGAACTACCTGAACCTTATCTGGTCCTGGGGGACCTGAATGCACATAATGGTCTGTGGGGTGACTCTCGCAATGATCTACGAGGTCGTCTCATTGAACAATTCCTCATTTCATCAGGTGCTTGTCTGTTGAATAGGAAAGAGGGAACATACTATAACCTTGCCAACAAAACTTACTTTTCCATAGACCTCAGTATCGCATCTCTTTCACTTGTACCAATACTTCAGTGGAAAGTCACTAATTATCCATACGGAAGTGACCATTTTCCTTTAGTTTTGAGTACACCAATAATATATGAATGCGCTCCACATGTTCCCAAATGGCTGGTAAACAAAGCCGACTGGGAACAATTTCTGTGATGATGTGGATTGTGTGGCCTGTGACGGGGCGAAGAGGGAACAGCAGTTCTGCTCTGCGGTACGCTTGGAGGCGAAGACGAGGAAAAGGAAGCGCGAGCGAGCCGTGCGGTTCGAGCAGTTGGAGCGTGAGACAGTTCGAACTGGCAGCTGCTGGTCGGCGGTTCGGGTCGCGACATCGCTTAACCAGGCGTCCGGCAGCCTTGCGGATCTGGTGAGCTGGCTTCCTGCTTCGGGCTGCGTCACTCAACCAGGTGTCCGGCAGCCTTGCGGACCTGGTGAGCTGGCTTCCCGCTCTGTGGCCGGCGCTGACACGGGGACCGGCAGCATAATCTGTTCGTGGCCTGAGGTCCTGGGGCCCGAGGGGTGGCACGAGGTGGCCGCGGCTCATGTTGGCGACGGGCCATTATCCTCAACTGCAGTGGCCTGGTGATCTACCGGCCTGCAGCACCACCATCACCACCACCGCCACCTCACTACGGTCAAGGCAGCGTGACTGCACAAGGAACACCGGTGACGACCGACCTCGCCGCAGCGGCAACAGTCATAACGGCGAGTAGGACAGTTTGTGTGCCGAGGCGCGTAGGACGTTTTTGGCATGCAAATAAGGAACGCTATAGTGTGTTGTGTGTGAATTGTAAGAGTTATCGGTTGTATTAAAGTCTGTGTTGTGTGTACAGAGTCACCTGACTGCCGGTTGATTTATTACGAATCCTGGGCCCACATTAAACCATCACAAACTTGGCGAGCCTGCCAGGATACCGCCAGTAACATCTCGAACGCGGGAATCGCCAGTCAGGTGTGTGCACGCAGCACAAGACGAGAGACATGGATCTCGATAAGTTAGCGGCTGTAGCAGCTCAGTTAGGCTTGTCTGGCGCGGAACTTTGCGAATGGATTGAGCGAGAGCAAGTTAGGCAGAGAGATGAGCGCGCAGCTGAGAGAGAACAGGCCAAAGAAGCAGCCGAGAGACAACGGTTAGCGGACGAGAGGCAACGGTTAGCAGACGAGAGGCAGCTGCAAATCCTCCAACTTAAGCTCCAGGTTCAGGAAAGTGCTCAAAGTCAGCCATCTGCGGCGGCAGCACTCGCCCCATCGGGAAACCCGTCATGCCTGAATCCGTAGAAGTTACTACCGCTATTTGACGAGCGACGCGATGACCTGCACGCGTATTTGCAGAGGTTTGAACGCGTGGCTACTGGGCAAGAATGGCCAAGAGATAGATGGGAAGTAACCGTAGGCATGTGCTTAACTGGTGAGGCACTCACTGTCATTGGTCAAATGACTGCTGACGAGGCCCTCGACTATTATAAAGTGAAAAAAGCCCTACTTCAGCGCTTCAGATTCAAGGCACAAGGATATAAAGACAAATTTCGTAAAGCCCGGCCTGAAGATGGCGAAACAGGGAAACAACTAGCAGCAAGGATCTCGAGCTATTTTGATAACTGGATTGAGATGGCTGATGTGCCTAAACTATTTGAGGGTCTTCGTGACCATGTTATAGCCGAGCAATTCTTGCGTTGCTGTAATCCGAAGCTGGCCATCTTCCTGAAAGAGAGGGATTGCAAAACCCTTACATCCATTTCAGAGTGCACCGACCGCTTTCTCGAAGCACAGGGAGTCAATAACATTGGTAAAATTGCAGATGATACAAAGGAGGCAAATAAACCCGGTGTTATGTCACAGTACAAACAGCCGAGTTGCTTTCTGTGTCACCGCAAAGGACATAGCGCTCGGGATTGTCGTGCGGTTCCGAAAGAGTCTGTGAAATGCAAAACATGTGGGCGGCTTGGCCACAAAGCCACCGATGGCAAGGATCAGAGCAAAGACAAGTAGGTGTCTTGTGCCATGATAGAACAGAAAAAACAGGATTACTTCCCTATGGCCAAGTTCAAGGATGAGACATGCGCTGCTGAATGCCCCAAGAAGTGCGAGAACCAACCTATGTTCTTAGTCGACAACATGCCAGTGGTCGAAGGACGGGTGCTTGGACAACGCGCACGTGTCTTACGAGACACAGGGAGCAACACGACCATCGTCCGACGCGAGTTCGTGCCGGATCGATGCCTGACCGGGAAGACGGCAAGAGTTATGCTTTTAGATGGAAAGGCCAAGGAACTACCGGAAGCAAACATACAGATACACACGCCCTAGTTCGTTGGTGATGTAACTGCTTTATGCATGACTAACCCTTTGTACGACCTCGTGCTCGGCAATACTCAAGGATTAAAAGGACCACAGGAGCCAGATTCTACCTGGGAGTACTCTGACGCCCTGTTCCCTGAATCGGCTGGTTCGAGCAAAATCCCGGCATGCTGGGAAAAGTAAACCTTGCTTTCTGCCGTCGTGCTGACGCAGGGAAAGACGGAGAGTATGATGAAGATTCCGCTAGCTGGTTCGCTAGAAGTGACCCGAGTGCAGCTAACTGAGAGCCAAAAAGACGACCCAAGTCTGAAGTGTTGCTTCAGCAAGATTGGGAAGGAGTTTCACTCCGATAAAGACACGACGTACCACTTTTCTGAAGAGGCTGGTCTACTGTATCGACATTACCGCCTTTCTAAGGGGAGGACCTTTAAGCAAGTCGAGTGTCGAGGAGGCCGTGGCACCTCCCGTGGCTGCATGGATTACAAGCCTCCCATCAGAGAAAAGTGCTACAAGTGCAATCGAATAGGCCACTTCGCCAGGGACTGCAAGGAGGCTGAGGACCGGTGTTATCGCTGCAACGGCACTGGACACATCTCCTAGGACTGCCAGCATGGCCCAGATGAAATGTCGTGCTACAACTGCGGCAAGATGGGCCACATTGCACGCGAGTGCAAGGAGCAGGAAAAGACCTGCTACATCTGCCACAAGCAGGGACACATCTCCAGGGACTGCGAGCAGGACGAGAGAAGGAGTGGCGCTGGCCTCTCTCTCCAGTGCTACCTGTGTGGCAAGCTGCGCCACATCTCGCGGGATTGCCCGAACAGCGAGCGGGATGACCGCAAGTGCTACAACTGCGGACACCTGGGACACATCAGCCGGGACTGCCCAGAGGCCGGAGGAAACGACGCAGTGGCCGACGTCTGCTACCGCTGCAATGAGCGCGGGCACATAGCACGCAACTGCCGGTCCACACGCTCCAACAACCGCTGCTACCACTGCGGTGAGGTGGACCACCTGGCACGAGAGTGCGAGATGAAGGCCTGAGGGACGCTTCACCCACCATTTGAGCCGCTGCCCAGCGCCACCTTGGACGTGCAACGAACAGTCCCGTTGCCCTGCCCTCCTCTCCCAGTCGTCTCTCTTGGGAAGGAAGTAGCCGCTCCCTCACCCCCTCCGCCGTTGGTGCTTGCGCGACAGCCCCGTTTGCATCTGCATTGCACTCTGGCAGCGACGTGCTGTCACTAGTAAGGCAAGTCCCATACTGCAAGCACCGGATCTTTCAAAGCCTTTCGTGCTCCGTACTGATGCCTCAAGCACAAGCATCGGCGCAGTGCTTCTGCAAAACAGTGGGGACGATATTTTACATCCGGTTGCTTATGCTAGTCGCAATCTGCTGCCTAGAGAGGCCCGCTATTCCACAATAGAGCGTGAATGCTTAGCGCTCGTGTGGGCTGTTCAGAAGTTCCACATTTACTTACGCGGCAAACCCTTCATTATTCAGTCCGACCACCAGCCACTCCGGTACTTGCAGTCAGCCAAACACGTCAATAATCGAGTGTTACGATGGAGCTTACTAATACAAGAGTACAGCTTTAGCGTAGAATACATAAAAGGCTCAGACAATGTAGGAGCCGGCTACTTAAGTCGCATCTGAATTGCCCTAATCTTTCTCCACTTGTGTATTTTTCATGTGTGTTTTTTTCATTACGTGCTGTGTGGATCACAACCATTCGGATTCGTGCGAACTTGTTCCCTCTTTGCAAACGCGCCTGCACTTTTGCCTACTCACCGCCTGGCGTAGAGTGGAATAGTTGCTCACAACTATCTTAAGTGGGGGTTGTGTGATGATGTGGATTGTGTGGCCAGTGACGGGGCGAAGAGGGAACGGCAGTTCTGCTCTGCGGTACGCTTGGAGGCGAAGACGAGGAAAAGGAAGCGCGAGCGAGCCGTGCGGCTCGAGCAGTTGGAGCGTGAGACAGTTCGAACGGCAGCTGCTGGTCGGCGGTTCGGGTCGCGACATCGCTTAACCAGGCGTCCGGCAGCCTTGCGGACCTGGTGAGCTGGCTTCCTGCTTCGGGCTGCGTCACTCAACCAGGTGTCCGGCAGCCTTGCAGACTTGGTGAGCTGGCTTCCCGCTCTGTGGCCGGCGCTGACACGGGGACCGGCAGCATAATCTGTTCGTGGCCTGAGGTCCCGGGGACCGAGGGGTGGCACGAGGTGGCCGCGGCTCATGTTGGCGACGGGCCATTAACCTGCACTGCAGAGGCCTTGTGATCTACCGGCCTGCAGCACCACCATCACCACCACCACCACCTCACCACGGTCAAGGCAGCGTGACTGCACAAGGAACACCACTGACGACCGACCTTGCCGCAGCGGCAACAGTCATAACGGCGAGTAGGACAGTTCGTGTGCCGAGGCGCGTAGGACGTTTTGGCATGTAAATAAGGAACGCTATAGTGTGTTGTGTGTGAATCGTAAGAGTTATCGGTTGTGTTAAAGTCTGTGTTGTGTGTACAGAGTCACCTGACTGCCGGTTGATTTATTCCGGATCCTGGGTCCACATTACACCATCACAATTTCAAAAGATTACTCACTTATGTTGGACTGACATATGCGGATTAGGTATAGATGAAGCTGTGCAGTACGTCACGGCTTTTCTTACTGACGCAGCAGCCAAGTGCATTCCACAAACATCTGGACTGCCCGGCAAACGACACGTCCCGTGGTGGAACACTGAGTGTCAGAACGCGCGAAAGGAACAGAACAGGGCATGAAGGTTGCTGCGGAACTCGCCGACAGTGGAAAACCTTGAGAGCTTTAAGAAAATAAAATCTCGAGGCAGGAGAACGCGTGGGCAGGCCATAAGAGAAAGCTGGCACAAGTTTTTATCAGGAATAATGTTCATATACACAAGAAGCTAAAGTCTGGATCATGGTTTGTAGGGTAGTAGGAAGACAAGTACACTCACTCCCACTCGTAAACACACGGGGTGACAGCCTGGAAGATCAGGCGAACTTCCTCGGTGCACACTACGAGCAAGTGTCTAGCTCGTCACACTATACTGAAGCTTTCCAAAGATATAAAGCAAAGATAGAAAAGCAGAAACTAGAATACAAGTGTACCAATCACGAGGCATACAACCAACCTTTCAACTTAGCTGAGCTACAAACATCACGAATCTCTTGCAGTAATTCTGCCCCAAGCTACGACCATGTCACGTATGAAATGTTGAAAACCTGCCGCTCAAAATGCGAAAAACTTTACTCTCTCTATACAATGCTATCTTGCTTTCTGGCACCATCCCTGCTTCCTGGAAAGAGGCTATTGTTATCGCTATTTTGAAACAAGGAAAGAACCCTTTCTCAGTTTCAAGTTATAGGCTCAGTGCACTAACCAGCTGCCTTTGTAAACTTTTTGAAAATATGATAAACCGCCGACTTTTATATTTCCTTGAAACACACAATCTGCTTGACCAATACCAATGTGGGTTTCGAGAGGGTGGATCCACCACCGACCATCTGGTGCGTATTGAGGCACAGATCCGAGACGCTTTCGTCCACAAACAATACTTCCTCTTTGTGTTTCTCGATATCGAGAAGGCTTACGACACAACATGCGTTTTGGCATATCAAGAGACTTGTCTCACCTGGGTGTGGCGGTAAAATGCTTTCCATAATCGAGAGTTGCTTGTCCAATCGGAAATTCCGTGTCCGTGTGGGCAGTATTCTCTCCCAAACATTTGTGCAAGAAACGGGAGTACCGCAAGGTGGTGTACTTAGTTGTACACTTTTTATTATCAAAATGAATTCCTTGCACCTGTCCATCCCCCGCAACATGTTTTATTCCACATATGTCGATGACGTCCAGCTTGACTTAAAGTCATACAACCTAGCAATGTGTGAGCGGCAGGATCAGTTAGGTTTAAACAAGGTCTCCAAATGGGCAGAGGAAAACGGATTCCGGCTGAACCCAGAAAAAAGCACCTGTGTCTTGTTCTCCCCAAAGAGAGGTGTGCACTCAGAACCTGACATTGAACTGAACGGTCAACGTCTGTCTGTCAATGCGGAGCATAAATTCTTAGGCTTAATCCTGGACAACAAGTTGACCTTCATACCGCACATCAAGTATTTAAAAACAAAATGTTCAAAAGCCATGATTTTTATAAAAGTGTTGTCACGTACTACGTGGGGTAGTGACAGGCAAAGTCTCATGAACATGCATAGAAGCCTCATTCGCACCTGCTTAGATTATGGGTCCGTTGTCTATCAGTCTGCGAATCAAAGTGCTGTGAAGATGCTGGACCCCGTGCACCATTTGGGCATCCGCCTTTCTACGGGTGCTTTTCGCACCAGCCCCGTAGAAAGCCTTTACGTTGAGTCAAATGAGGGGCCGCTTCATCTGCAAAGAACTTACATGTCCTTTGTTTATTTTCTTGAGGTGAAAGCAGACAAGAAGCACCCCTCATACTCTACTATTATTGATTTGTCGAGCTCCATACTGTTTCAAAACAGGCCTTTGATGAGGCAGCCTTTCTTAGTTCGCCTGAAGGGTCTAGCTGAGGACACTGTAGCGTCACTAGAACACAGTTTAATGGCTCCTGTAGCATACCCGCCACCGTGGCAGTGGCAGACTATAGACTGCGATGTGTCTTTTCTGGAAGTTACAAAACATGCGCCTATTGCCCATATCCTAACATACTTCCTGGAACTTCAACATAAATACAAACGTCTTGAGTTCTTTACAGATGCCTCTAAGTCCAACTCCTCTGTGTCCTACGCTGCTGTTGGCCCTTCTTTTTCGGATGCTCGCCCTCTACATCCAGGCACAAGTATCTTCACAGCGGAAGCTTATGCAATACTTGTGGCAGCTAAACACATCAAACAATTACAAATACAAAAAGCAGTAATTTATACAGACTCCCTCAGTGTGGTAACGGCTCCGCACAGTCTTAAAAAAACCTGTCCTCGTCTCACTTTACTCAGTTTTATGCACACTCTGCACACTCAACGAACATGTTGTAGTGTGCTGGATGCCAGGGCACCGTGAGATTCAAGGCAACGTGATGGCGGATCAGCTTGCTGCATCCGTCCACGAGAGCACCGCCACTACACCCATATCAATTCCGGCCCTTGATTTTAAGCCGTCTCTCAAACGAAAGCTCAGGGACTACTGGCAGAGCAAGTGGGATAGACACACACAAAACAAGCTACACGTTATCAAGCCACACCTTGGCCATTGGCCACCAGTATCAAAATCACGTCTAACAGAGGTAACTCTAACAAGACTCAGGATAGGACACACATACACGACACACACACATCTTTTGTCCGGTGGCGATTCACCATTGTGTGTTAAATGTGGTGAGGCAATAACAGCTCTTCACGTTTTAATCCAATGTAAACAATTAGACACTCTAAGAAGACAACACTTTCCATTACCCTACCGACATCATATACCATTACACCATGCAATGTTTGTTGGTAGGGAACCACTTTTCACCCATAAATCATTGCTAGCTTTTTTAAGAGGTGTCGGTTTTTACCATGTATTATACCCAGGCACTGCGTAGCGTGACCTCTCAAGAGAGGTTGCTGCTGCAGTGACTAAATTTATAAGCACTTGCCTCGCAGCCCTTGAGCACAAGGGCGCTGATGAGGCACCTGTGCTAGTGCCAAATATTTTTACTTGTTTTTATTATCAAAACCTTCGTCACCCTTTTTACTATGCATATCCAGCCACTGTCATGATCTTAATACTTATGTTTTTACCAGCATTATCGCGAGGAATTTTAAGGCCCCTATACAGTCACGCAACATATCATTGTCCGCATCTCTACTCATCGAAATGGCGCTTTTTGGCCATCAATTGGCCCTTGCGCCACAAAGCGCCACACATCATCATCATCGATATGCTGATCGTTTGTTCACTTCCAGCTTTAGTTCCTAATGGTTCCTAACATGCCATGGGCGCACTTTATGACGAGAAAATTCTTATTTCCAACGAAGTGTTGCTGGCTACGGCAACACATTTTTTGTGTCGTAGTTGCATCTTCCCACCGGTATATATCTTCTGCGGTCAGCAGACCGACAGGCATGCGGCGTTGTTACTTTATCTGATCGATCGAGTTTCACGAGTGTCTTGACCTAATGAGCAGTTATCTTACACTGCAGTTTCGTTTTAGGGTCTGCCCGCATAGATTGATGATGCAAACTGCAAGTGCGTAAAGTGGTCTCCATTTCTAGC